CCCATTGCCTTCATTTCCTCCGAAGTGAACAGTTGAGCCCCACTCATTGCGTCACCAGTCCGTGCATCACCTGAAACGACATGGCGTCACTAAAGTTCTTGACAACCTGCTTACTACTTGCCATGAATGGAGCTGTATTTTGATTCTGGCCACACGGATTTGAATGATACCTCCTCCTGCAGGTCGAGACGCGGCTATGAAAGTGTTCTTCGTCTGCTTATGAGTATGGGCAAGTGTGCTGGTTCGTCGGGTTTCGAGGAATCTTTCGAAGTCCAACTTCTGGCCCGGATCGGCCAAGCTAGTGGGACAAAGCGTGGATGTCAGCTTTGCTCGGAGCGACAAGCAAGCCAGGCACATGCACGAATGCAGCGAGTCGTCAAACGTCGGCCATCTTGACAGGTTTACGGGTGCCGTCTCAAAGTGTTTTGGTAAAAGAGACACAAATAAGGGATACATGAGATGTGTTCACACTATTTCGTTTAAGGTGATGAAGGACTGGTGGTTGAATTTTCCCACAATCATATGACCAGAGCCATTGAATTCCATTTAATTTTACATAGTCTTGCTTTCCCATAGTTGTTATCATTCAGACTGAAGTGGACTGCAGTTTCGACTTCGCCTAGGTCTTGTCAACACCCCCAGCGGGAGTCGAACTATGACAGTGCGGCGTGTAGGCTCGACATATAAACCACTTCATCATATTCCCACGAGTGCCCTTCGGCCACAGAGTCGATGTGAATTTCGAAGAATCTTAGGCATCTTCCCCTTCACATTCTGTTTTGGGATTGTCGATGAAGCAAACTTATATTTGCTATAGCAATCGACGACATTACTTTTTTCTTATTGAGTAGGTTTTTCAGACAGCACATCTTCCATATCTGATTAGCTGGTAGTCTCGAAAACCTAGTCAATAACGACAAAATAAGGAAGCCTCTTTTGTCCAACCTATCAGCATTCCAGTTAAGTGTGTGAAAAAAGTAATATTTTTATTGTGTGGGCTGAATTGTGCTTCTGAATTCGAGAATAGCTTGATTTCCTTTGCGTCGGTGTGACTATGTAGTGTGTGGTTGCTTTTTCATTGAGTTTTAACTATGGCTCTTGGTGATGCCTCCAACCTCGCCTTGAATATCAGATAAAATGTACAGGCATAGTTTCAGGCCAAACTTGATTATCATCATATGATTGTGGGAAAATTCAACCACCAGTCATTTCTCACTTCAAATAAAATAGTGTGAATACCGGTCTTACACACGATCCATTTGACAGTCTCAAAAACACATTCTATCAAACAAGACCTTATATTTGTCATAACTTTAATCGCATTACTACATTCTAACTGAGTAGTCATCGAAACTATCAGTCACTCTTGACCAAGAACCGCCTACTCAACTGAATATATTTTATTATTCGATTGTAATAGAACTT